AACAGAGCCGTGTTGTGAATCGTACTGGAAGAGGTCCAGAAACGCTCTCTCTGTGTGTTTTGTGTTGTGTGTCGGTGTGCGCACATATATCCAGATCACAGAGTCCTGGAACTGGGAGGAATACAAAAGGGTCCTTCTGACTAATTCTCAGACCAAAGAGGTATAACCAGGCCTCCTGAGGCTGGGCTGTGCCTCAGATTGTACTGTATCAGGTACCAAACTTGATTACCACCATCCCCCATCCCCCTGGGAGCAGTCACACTATTGACCCATGGCAACATAAGAAATGGGCAAGGCAGAGAGGCAGTCCCAGGAAGGGGTGTCCGGGTTTTTAACCAGCTGTGATGCATTAATGTTTTGTGGCACTTTGAGGAAGGGTTACTCAGAATTGCTCTTTTTCATCTCCACGGCCCTGTCTCCTCAGGCTGAGCTGCTGCTGGGCTTCCCTTCACCCCCAGAAAGACAGCTCAGCCTGATCTCCTCTCCCCCGCCCTTTCCCTGTTACATGGAGAAACAGGGCTTAAGCTCATCTGAGGAGTCATTTCTGTGAGGTTTCGCGACGGACTCCATCAGGGGAGTATTATACAGTGGCAGGGCTAGAAGTGGTGGGGACAAGAGACTTCCACGGAGAAGTTGCCACCGCTGAGTGTGGCGGGGAAAGGAGCAGATATGCACGTTCAGTTGTGCAATACTAACACTTATGGGGCAGGGATTGGGGTATATACACACAGACGGGGTGCCGTGAGGGTCAGAGGACCAAGGGACAGGGAGTGCATGAACAAGTGGGCAGTGATGGGGGCAGGCAGCTGCATGTCCATAGCCAGGTGGGCAGGGCTGCTGAAATTAAACCGTTCTTTGTAATTGCGGGTCCAGGGACATCTCGGGGACTTTTCCTTTAGTGTCCTCACCTGGGCAGGCCTGAACGGAGTGTCAGTCAATTTCAGAGGCTAATGGATTGTCTATTTCAAGGGCGCTGACAGTATGCAGCTGCCATCTGCCATGGGCAATTGAAAATCCCCACCAACAGTGCAGATGGCCAGGGCATTGCACTCGGAGACAAAAGCCACCTTCTACTCCTGCTATGAACCATGTACAAGACTCAGTTTGTCCCGATGGGCTAAGCTCCTGTTATTGGCAAATGATTTCTTTATTCCTGGGGGAGGCTCTCAAGCTATAGTTCTCCAGAGCCTAATTTCTGTCCTTCCCTTGCTGATGCAGGCCAGGGCGTTGGCTGGTCGTCCTGGACAACCTTGCACTCCACGGGGACTGTTCAGGGGAATCATAAAAGTGTCTGTCCAGCACGGCGAGTGTCTGATCTCTGAGAGTCACACTCTAAGTCTCAGGGCTCTGCTTTCCTGTCACAGCAAGGAGATTTCCCCTCTCTACAGAGCAGGAGTGCGGTGAGTTGTCTGTTTCTGCATGCAGGTCCCTGCTGAGATTTTAGGAAGGGCTTCAGGGTCTACTCAAGCAACCTCAAAAGGGAGTTACGTGGTAAGATTGTAACTACAAATGCATTGGACATAGTTCAGAAAAATATTTGGATTTTTTTTATAACATTTCCTCGTCTGTCACTTTGTCCTTAGATGTGTCCCAGGAGTTTCTTTCTTGCGGGAAGAGCAGTTCTTTCTCTGGTTCATTCAAGATTTTCAATTGAGAACATTCACTGCCCTGTTTAAAAGTGCCTCCAAACCCTCTACAGTGGGTCTCTAAGTTACGAGAGATTTCACAACATGAATGGGACGTACACTGGTCTCACATTCTTGTCCACACTGGGTCACTCCAGAGTGACATCGGTCTCTCTGAAAGCAAAGTCAAGGCCACACTCTTTTGAAATCCCCATATTTTATACCCACTCTGAGAACCCCACATACACTGAGGGTTTCAGCAGACTCTTCGGCTGTGTCTACACTGGCCACTTATTCCGGAAAATCAGCCGTTTTTCCGGAATAACTTGCCAGCTGTCTACACTGGCCCCTGGAATTTCCGGAAAAGCACTGACGATCTAATGTAAAATCATCAGTGCTTTTCCGGAAAAACTATGCTGCTCCCGTTCGGGCAAAAGTCCTTTTCCGGAAAACTGTTCTGGAAAAGGGCCAGTGTAGACAGCACAGATTTCTTTTCCGCAAAAATGACGATTGGGGCTTTTTTGCGGAAAAGCGCATCTACATTGGCCACAGACGCTTTTCCAGAAAAAGGGCTTTTCCGGAAAAGCATCCTGCCAATGTAGACGCACTTTTTCCGGAAATACTTATAACTGAAAACTGTTCCGTTTTAAGCATTTCCGGAAAAGGGTGCCAGTGTAGACGTAGCCAGAGAGTTTCAGCAGACTCTTTACGTACATTAACTCTCTAGCCTTCTTCAAGGAAGACCTGAAGCCAGGATTTTCACAGCCAGGAGTGAAAGTCGCACAAGAAGGGTAAAACTATTCCCATGGAGATCAAAGGCAGGAGTTCATCCTCAAGCCACACTTGGAGAGTCAAATCAATGCCCTGATTTACACTGGCCATAAGCATCCTGTGACTTCATCTGGAGTCGGCCCATGGCCTCTTAGGACAGGTGAGCCAAAGAAGAACTGACGGGCGAGTTAATGGAATTTCAAACTCAAAGGCTTGCAGGTTCAGATCATTCATGGTAACGAAACTTTACAGGGAGGGAGATGGGGCTGCTCTCTCGGGGTATGTCTACACAGCAGTCTTATTTTGGAATAATCAACATTTTTCCAAAATAACAAAGAGAGTGTCTACACAACAGGCCTTTATTTTGAAATAATATCGAGCTGGAGGACTTCTTACTCTGACTCTTGGTAACAACCATTTCACGAGGAGTAAGAGAAGTCAAAGGATGATTGCTCAGCTAATTCAACTTAAGCTACACAATTGACGTAACAGAAGTTGTTTAGCTTAGTTTGACTTTAGCTCTGCAGTGTAGACTTTCCCTCAGTGCCCTGGGAACTCTGTGCTGGGAGAGGACAAGCAGCACCAAAAAGCCATACACACAAAAGCATGAACGTCTGGCATAAAGGTGGTGGTGTAAATCTCTCTGGGGGATGTCCAGGAAAGCAGTGTTGAGGGTAGGGAGAAGCCAGAGGCAGGGGGGACGTGCAATAGCCAATGATGTGGAGTCTTGAAATTGGGTGAAATGGGCAGTCAAAAAAAATAAACAGGATGTTGGGAATTTTTAAAAAAGGGATAGAGAATAAGACAGAGAAATGCCTCTATATATAACCATGGTACGCCCACAACTTGAATACTGCATACAGATATGGTCGTCTCATCTAAAAAAATACATCTTAGCATTGGAATAAGTTCAGAAAAGGGCGACAAAAATGCTTCATATGGCTGCCGTATGAAGAGAGATTAAAAAGATTTAGACTTTTCAGCTTAGAAAAGAGGACACTAAGGCTATGTCTAGACTGCAAGCCTCTTTCGAAAGAGAGCGTCTAGACTGCATGTTGTACTTTCGAAAAAGCGGCTTGCTTTTTCGAAAGAAAGCATCCAGTGAGTCTGGATGCTCTCTTTCAAAGAAGCCCTATTTACATTCAAGAACGCCTTCTTTCGAAAGAAGAACTTTCGAAAGAAGGCGTTCTTCCTCGTGAATTGAGGTTTACCGCCATCGAAAGAAAAGCCGCGTTCTTTCGATTTAATTTCGAAAGAACGCGGCTGCAGTCTAGACGCAGGGGAAGTTTTTTCGAAAAAAGGCTACTTTTTTTGAAAAAAACCCTGAGTCTGGACACAGCCCAAGGGGCTACATCTACACTGGCACCCTTTTCTGGAAATGCTTAAAACAGAAGAGTTTTCCATTATAAGTATTTCCGGAAAAAGAGCGTCTACATTGGCAGGATGCTTTTCCGGAAAAGCCCTTTTTCCGGAAAAGTGTCTGTGGCCAATGTAGATGCACTTTTCTGCAAAAAAGCCCCGATTGTCATTTTGGCGATCGGGGCTATTTTCTGGAAAAGACTACTGGGCTGTCTACACTGGCCCTTTTCTGGAACAGTTTTTCCGGAAAAGGACTTTTGCCCGAGTGGGAGCAGCATAGTTTTTCCGGAAAAACACTGACAATTTTACAGTAGATCGTCAGTGCTTTTCTGGAAATTCAAGGGGCCAGTGTAGACAGCTCGCAGCTTATTCCGGAAAAGCGGCTGCTTTTCCGGAATAAGTGGCCCAGTGTAGACACAGCCAGGGAGGATATGATAGAGGTCTATAAAATCATGACTGGTGTGGAGAAAGTGAATAAGGAAAAGTTATTTCCTTTAGTCCTGTAACATAAAAACTAGGGGTCACCACATGCTGAATCTACTCTCCACCAGTTGGTAATATACGGTCTGTTCTCATCTCTCTTATTCCTTTTCTTTGTATGTGAGCATACCCAGTCTCTCCTACCTCTATATGTGTAAGAGTTTACCAAGCCATTAATCATGCTCCATGCCATTGCCCAAATCCACCCTGTTCTGCAATGTACTTTGTGAGAAGGGTGCGCGGTACTGAAAAGAGGAGTGCAGGACAGGGTGAAACATTGACTCCCCTAGCATTGTAATTTCTGTAGGATTCCCCATCCCATTCTGCCTTTTTGCTTCGATTTTTTACTTCCTTGCACTTTGAACAGAATTTCCTAGAGCTGTGAGCCAGGATGCCCAGGTCCTCCTCAGTTCATGGAGTTAAATTAGACCCTTGCTGGGTGTTTGAGGAGTTCAAGATTTTCCCTCCAATGGGCAGACACATTGCAGGTTTTGACACTGAATTTGATGTGCCCTCAGGCTGCCCATTCCGCTAGCTTGGTTAGTTCCTTTGAGGAGTTCTCTGGACTTTACTGTGACCTAAATAATCTGGTTCCCTCAGCAAGTGTTGTCCCCTCACTGCTCTGTCCCCTTTCTAGATTATTAATAATGGAAATGTTTATCATACTGCTTGTAATAAAGAATGTAGCCCCTCACCTCACACTGCTTCTCCCCCTTCTCAGGCATCGTGAGCATTGCTGACCTCACCTGATGCATCGACCACCTCATGACAACGTTCAACCTCACCCTGTCGGAGCCATCAACATTCATCCTAATGGGCATCCCTGGCCTGGAAGCTGCCCACATCTGGATCGGCATCCCTTTCTGTGCATGCTACGTTATCAGCCTCTTGGGAAATTTCACGGTTCTGTTCATTGTAGGTAAAGAGGAAACCCTGCACAAGCCAATGTATCTGCTGCTCTGCATGCTGGCGCTCACAGACATTGGCATGTCTACCTCCATCATACCAAAGGCCCTGTGTATATTCTGGTTCAATATGAAAGGCATTACAGTGGGTGGCTGCCTCACCCAGATGTTCTTTGTTCACATGCTTTCTATTATGTACTCAGCCATCCTTGTGGCAATGGCCTTCGATCGCTACATTGCCATATGTAACCCTCTGAGATACACCACCATCCTCACCCATGCACGGACATCCAACCTAGGCCTAGTGTGTTTGACAAGAGCTGTTCTCTTCACTTTTCCTGGAATTCTGCTTCTGGTCAGGCTACAGTTCTGTGGCAACCACATTATTCCCAATACATTCTGTGACCATGTAGCTGTAGCAAAGTTATCATGTGGGGACATCACAGTCAACAAGGCATACGGCTTGGTGATAGCGCTTGTAGTCATTGGGTTAGATCTCATGCTTAATGCTTTGTCCTATGGTCTGATCCTCAGGGCCGTCCTCAAAATCTCCTCCAAGAAATCCCACCAGAAAGCCCTCAACACCTGCACTGCCCACCTCTGCGTGATGCTCCTTTTTTATAGTTCCGGTCTCTTCTCCAGCTTCACCTACCGTTTCGGTCAGGGCATCGCTCCCCATGTTCACATTCTTTTGGCCAACCTTTATTTCATCATTCCCCCCATGCTCAACCCCATCATTTATGGGGTAAAAACCAAAGAGCTTCGTGACAAAGTGCGCACACACCTGCAGAAGGTGATCACCTGTGGTCACTAATTTTATACCTTTGTAACCCCCTTTTTCCTTGCTGGGTTACTCGGTAGCAGGCCACACTCACAGGGTGGCTAATGTTTAGAACATAAAAGGAGATCCTGAGTATCTCAGTGTTGATGTTGTTTAGTTGGGGATTCCTTATCCAGCCCTTTGCTGCAGTCCCTTGCTCCTAAAGGAGTATACAGTGGTGGTACCTCCACTGGATTGGCTCTGCACACACTTCAGGTGTGCTTTGGGACCCTCCTGGAATAAAATTATTCCAGCAATATCCTAGAACTAACTCCAATACAACAGTTATAAATAATATGCATGCAATTGATTAAATTAGAATTAACACGCCTTTGCTTAACAATGTAAAGAAATCGGGTTGAACAGATTAAAAGTGAATAAAATCAATTAACAAAGTACACAGAAGGAAAGGGGACTTATCTGTCTGGCATTTGCACTGCCACCATTTATTGCACCCTAGAATTGCCCTGCTCTGTTTTCAGAGTCCCAGAAACTTGCTGGCATGGGCATGCTTGAAGGTTGCAGCAGAAGTGGAGACAGGTAATGTGTGTGTCAGTGAAGTCAGGCAGCTGTAAAATCCCTCTGCCACTGGAGCAGGCCCCACCAAATGCCAGCAGCTCTGGTCCACTGGACTGGTCATTCGGCCTCTCTTTGGACCCAGAGTCAGTTTCTCTTCTGAGCTCCGTCCCAGGCGCCACTTTCCCAATGAGCCCCAGTTTCCTTCTCTGCAGGGTACTGCAGGCCCTTCCCAGCCACAAGCACAGCCAAAGTCTCTCCCCTCCAGGGACAATCACCATCAGCGCCCGAAGCAGCCTGCTAGCTCCAACCCCCGGCAGGCTCTCAGTCACAGGCTCTAGCTGCAACACAACTGCTCCTGGCCTGGAAAAGGCTCCACATCAGCAGCCTGGCTGCTCTCTCCCTGAGACAAATAGAAGGACACAGTCAGAAACAAGGAATTGATTTGAATGGCCATTACTTGTCCAGACTTTTCCCAATACACCTTTAGTTCCAATTTGACCTGATAAGTGTTTCTGACAATATATGTATGTACTTGTGCCTACCAGTACTTAGGAATGGGTGTTTTTTGTCATATCAGCCCTGTGCTTTCAGTTTCTCTGAACTGGGCCAGGTTCTTGCTCAGAGCTTAGCGTTGCTTTATAGCTGCAAACGTTTGATGACTTTAGCTCATGCCTTAGGCCTCAGGCTGAAATGACCCTGGGATAACCTGCAAATAACACTGATCCTAAAATCTGAGGACAAGGATGTCTATCCCACACCCTTCTGCTTGCATCTGTTCAGGATCGGATCACGCCATTTCATAGAATCATATGTAATCACTAAGGACTGGAATTTGACCACAGAACTGTCACTTTCTTAACAAAGACTCTATTTTTGCTAATTAAAAAGTAAATCAATGTAGAAGAAAACTGCAACGCTCTCTGGTAACTTTTTAAAAATCAAACTTTGAACTTTATTGAAAAAATTGGATAGTTTGCAATTGAAAAACTTAAGGCAACTTAAGGCAATTTTGTATAAAATTTTGATCAGATCTACTTGATGTGATACTTGTGTGTGGTTGTGGTTTGTTGTGGGTTTTTTTGCTCAACAAAAAATCCTGGGTGGGTGGGGGTGAGGGAGCCCGCCAAAATGGTTCGAATTGGGCCCCGCACTACCTAAAGCCGGCCTTGCCTCTAGGAGGAAAACAAGGCAGCTGCAGAAGCAGAGCAACGACTGTTCAGGGGGCTCCCTTTAAGCACATGTAACCCCTCCTGTTGGCTAGCCCAGTGTGAGGTTATTCAACATAGGGGAAGCTTGTGACTTCTTACACCACTGTGGGGAGGAGGGGCTAGGCCTGAGGCTGCTTGGTGTGCTCGGCGTAGTGTATGTCTGAGTGCACCTCAGACCAGACCCACTCTGACAAATCACCAGGAACGGGCTTTATTCTGTAAAAAACATAGAACAGGAAAACAATTCAGCAGCCCCTTCTCTCAGCATGCAGCCTGTGTGCTGCTTCTAGCACAGTCCTTGCTGAGACACTGGTGGGGGCAGAGGGCACATCCTGGCAGGAACCAGGAAGTTCTCCCAACATGCCGCAGTTTGTAGTCCACAACTTGTAGTTCCCAGGGCTGCTGCTGAAACACACTGAACCTTGGGCTACACATAGAATCATAGAACTGGAAGAGACCTCAGAAGGTCATTAAGTCCAGCCCCCTGCTCTAGGCAGGACCAATCCCAACTAAATCAACCCGGCCAGGGCTTTGTCAAGCCGAGACTTAAACACCTTTGGCCTGCAGTGTGTCAGTTAATTTCAGAGGCGAATGGATTGTGTGTTACGGCTGTGTGGTCAATGTGCAGCAATCACCTGCTATGGGCAATTGAAAATTCTCACATATTGTGGAGATGACAGGCTCCTTACACTCACACATACAAGGCACCTTCTATTGCTGGTATGAGCCATAGAAGACTCCATTTCCAGACTAAGCCCCTGATATTGGCGAATAATGTCTGCATTCCCGGAGGAGGCTCTCAAGCTGTAGTTCTCCAGGGTCTAATTTCTTGCTCTTCCCTCTGCTGATGCAGACAAGGGCGTTGGCTGGTCGTTCTGGACAACCTTACACTCCATGGGGACTGTTCAGGGGAATCATAAAGGTGTCTGTCCAGCACGGCGAATGTCAGACCTGTGAGAGGCACATGCTGATTCTCAAGGCTCTGCCTTCCTGTCGCAGGAAGGAGATTTCCCCTCTCTACGGAGCAGGTTTGTGGTGAGTTGTCTGTTTTTTCATTCAAGTCCCTCCTGGGGGGCTTAGAAAGGGCTTCAGGATCTAGTGAAGAAACATCTGGGTCAGGATTCATCAGCACAGCATCGTGAAATGTTCAGTATTTTCAGGAACTCAAAAGGGAGTTCCCTGGTAAATTTGTAACCACAAATGCATTGGAAATAGTTTAGAAAAACATTTGATTTTTTTTATATCAATTCCTTGTCTGACACTTTGTCCTTCTATGTGTCCCAGTGGCTTCTTTCTTGGGGCAGAGTGGTTCTTTCTCTGTTTCATTCACGTTTTTCAATTCAGAAAATTCTGTCCTGTTTAGAAGTGCAGCTAAAGTGCAGCTAGTGTGGGTTATGAGAGATTTCCCAACAAGAACAGGACATACACTGACCAGGTTCTGGTCTCACATTCTTGTCCACACTGGGTCACTCCAGATTGACTCCGGCCTCCCTGAGAGCAAAATCAAGGCCCCTGTGTGATGAAATCCCCTTTTTCATGCCCAGGCTCAGAACTCTGCATAAACTGAATAGTCCTATTCATAGGAAGACCCAAAGCCAACAGGAGTGAAAGTAGCACAAGAAGGGTGGAGATTTAAATCAATGGCTGAGATTTACAATGGCTGTGAGGCTCTAGTAACTGTATCTGGAATTGCCCCGTGACCTCTAAGGGCAGGTGGGCCAAAGAAGAACTGTCAGGCTAGTTGCTGGGATTTCAAACTCAGAGGCTTAAAGGTGCAACACGTTTATGGTAACAAAACCTTATGGGAAGGGAGACAGGGCTGCTTTCTCAGTGCCCCGGCAACTCTGTGCCTGGAGAGGATGAGCAGCTCCAAAGAGCAATTCACACACAAGCATGAACGCCTGACTTTAAGGCGGTGTTGGAAATCTCTCTGGGGGATGTCCAGGAAAGCAGGGCTGAGGGTGGGGAGAAGCCAGAGGCAGGGGGACGTGCAGTATCCAGATGTCAGTGATGTGGCGACTTGAACCTGGGTGAAATGGGGAAGCTCTGTCTTGCCTAATGCACAGAGACTTAACAAGACCTCTTGTAGCAGGGGGCTGTCTCAGACTTTAGGGTAACCTAAACCACACAATATGGCTGTAACCCCTCCTGTTCACTAGCCCAGTGTACGGTTATTCAGCATGGAGAAAGCCTTGTGGTTCCTTACACAGCTGTGGGAGACTAGGTGTGCCCTGCATTGTGTGTCAGTGTGTGTGCACCCCAGACCAGACCCCCTCCGACAAACCACCCGGAACAGGGTTTATTCTGTACAAAAATAACATAGAACGGGGTCACAGTCCAGCAGCCTCCTCTCTGCTTGCTGTCTGCAAGCTGCTCCTAGCTCAGTCCCTCTGGAGACCCTGCCGGGGGCCGAGGACACGTCCCGGCAGGAACCAGGAAGCTCTCACAACGTGCCACTCTTTGTCGTTCACACCTTGTAATTCCAAGAGCTGCTGCTGAAGCCAACTAGGCCTTGGGCTACATGTCTTTGACACCCTCCCTCCACATTCAGGCCATCTCTCAGTCCCCATGAGGGGCTGTCTGGTTTGGTACCAGGCTGCAATAACTAAAATCTTTGTGTCATTTTGAGATATTCGCACTGGCCTTTTGTATTCTCCATGTCCTAGCTCTTCTCCTCTTGGCCTGTCCCTCCCCCCTTCCCTGAACAGGCTGAGCTGCTACTGGGGTTCCCTTTGCCCTCAGAAAGGCAGGTCAGACAGGTCTCCCTCTTTTCCCTGGCTCAGGCAGACCCTGAGTTTCACTTGCTGAGAGGAGATATTTCTGAGACATGTCACTGTGGGATCTGGTACCTGGCTTTGGTCCTGGGTTAGGCAGGGCTGTAAAATCAGGGCATTGGGGACCTTCATGGACAAGGGGCCAGAGCTCAGGTTGTGGGGCAGGAAGGAGGGTATCTATGAGGTTGAAGGAGCTCATTGGGGACCCTGCAGGCAGACAGGGGATGCAAGGATAGGTGCAGTGATTTGGGGAGCGCTGAATGTCATGTACACAGAAAGCTGGGTAGTGCTGCTGAAATTAATTTTTTCTTGGTGATAGCTGGACCAAGACCCAGCAATGAGTGCAACTGGGAGGTCTCTAGGTCTCCCTTGCCCTAGCAACACAAAGAACGATAATCCTGGAATCACAAATGTTAATCAGGTTTTTCTTTCCAACTCTACTTAGTGTTAGGTAACTTCAGGCATTTCACTCTTGGGAAGGGTAACTAATCGTTGCATGACCCTGCAGCCCTTATTCTTGGGACTGATATTGTTAGGACATGATTCTAACCTAATGATGGTACCTTGTGTGCAAGACAGCTCATGTCAGACGGCTTTGGATGAATTTGCATTGATTAACACTATCCTGTTTGTAGGCAAGTATCATTTCTGAGGCTGACGTTATATATATTTACTCTGCATGTGCATTTGAAATGTATTTCCATCTTTCCATCTGAATAGGTGTCTGGGAAGTGCCTCCCCCAGGGGATGAGGCAGTCGAGAAAATGAAAAGCCTGAGGAGCATCTTAGCTTCTCCCTGAAGAGGAATCCTGAGAATGCTCCAGGCGTCGGATCGTGAATGGGTCTGCAGCTTGTCACAGCAGCAGGTGGAGAGAGGGAGGACGCCGGTGAGTCAGAGAACTCAGCAGTGACCCAGTTCCAGCTGGCTCCCCAGAGACAACCCGTAACACTTTCCTACTCAGTGGCTTTAATCTCCCATTATACTCGGACTCGCTGACCTTTCCCATTCCCATTCCCACAGTGCGCTGGTCGTCAGTGT